AATGTAGTTATTAAAGTAAGAAAGAAAACAAGTATAAATGTTTTCATACATTTTACTTTCAATACAAAGTAACAAACAAAACATGAAAGCCAGTGTTCACATTATTGCATAAGAGACATGCTCACGGCACAGTAATATTAGAATACAGACAATTGTGAGGGGGAGAGGGACACTTGCCCACTTCTGAAAATTATCCCCAAATCACTGGAAAATCACTGTAAAAATCTTTACATCAAAATGTTCTCACTACTTCTGTGTGGAGCACTAAACCACAATAACTGCAGCACAAACTTAATCAATTTGAAATATTCAATTGCCCTCAAATACTACAGGAACTAATTAGGAATACGCAATAACTCATGCATGATTACCTACAAGGTGAAATCTGGGGAACATTGCATCTTTGGAATGAAGGGTTAAAATATCTGTGTATTTACATTCTACGCACTTACACAATCAAATTACACTGATTTAAATAAGACCCGATTCCAATGGACACCTCTGGTCTATGTAGGTTGATCCAACTCTTTGGGGACTCTTGCTGAGTGCTATCAGTTCAATTGAATGACATAATCACCAACTTTTCTGTATTCCATTTAACGCCAGGAGGTGTGTCAATCTGTTAATTGATTGCACTCAGCACGAGTCCCCTGGGAGTTGGAAGTATCTATGTAGACCAATGGTGTCTATGGGAATGGGGCCTTAGATTGGGGTGTAAGGCTCTCAAGTGAGGAAATATTAATTAAGCACTATCCCTTGCTGCTATGAAATTTTAATTCCATCTGAAAAATTCTGAGTCATTCAACAGAAAATTTCTTCATTCCATACTTACATCGAATTCATTTTTTTTATATTTTCTACTTTTATCATTTATCTGATAAACATTTCATTACATGTCAAAATAAAATGAGTGTAACCTAAAAAGATATGAACAAAAACCACAGCAATTACTCCACTAATAATTTGGGCAAATTTGGTAAATTGCAAACTTCATCTGGTAAAAAAAAAAAAAATGCAGAAAATGATATGACATCCAGAAATTTCATGTACATACTATCTACATGAATCGTAAGAAAAAAAATCTTGAAACTGCAAAACAGCACTGCTGTTAATTTGTACCTCCTTTAAATGAAGAGTTCACTACATTTTTATCTCCACAATCCCACATTTGAGGCTTGGTGCTCTTCTCCTTGATATATGTCTCCCTTTGCTTTGCAAATGTCCAACAATTATTCCATGGGCAGAACAATTTCAGATACAATAATTATGTACATCAAATAAAACAAAATGTGATTTACATGGCAATTTTATAATTCTACACATTAGTATATGACCTATTTGTGCATAAATAAATAAATAAAACTGAGGCAATCATCTCACAGTGGTGATAAACTGAAAGCCAAATGGAGATTCTAAGCACAAAAACCTCAAGCTACACATCATTCTGATAATGATGAGTTTTTTTAAACCTTCTGCTTCACTTTTTTACTGAGTGCACGTAGTTAGTGAGTCTGCAAAGCACCCATCAAAAAAATAAATAAAGAAAGAAAGAAAACGAATTAATAAAATAAATAAAAGGAGCTATGAAACCTTTAAGAAATGTGGAATTCTTTTTCTAAGGATGTTTTTTAAAAAACATGTATGCTTTTAACTTAACCATCAGTTTTCCCTTTTTTTATATACAGACTGGCTCTACCGTTTTATCCAAGAAATCAAAGCACNAAAATAAAGAAAGAAATAAATAAAACGAATTAATAAAATAAATAAAAGGAGCTATGAAACCTTTAAGAAATGTGGAATTCTTTTTCTAAGGATGTTTTTTAAAAAACATGTATGCTTTTAATTTAACCATCAGTTTTCCCTTTTTTTATATACAGACTGGCTCTACCGTTTTATCCAAGAAATCAAAGCACGGGGCAACCATAGTATACAACATTTAAGCCAGTTTAAATTTTGGTCTCCAAAACCATCATCAGACAACTTGCACCGTGGCCTCGTGGTCTTTTTAGTTATCTACGTTTTGGCTTGTTGGCATTTTAAATCATTGATTTGACTAGATACAACAAACAAGCATTCCACATTAATGCATAATGCTTCAAGATCTAGTGATATGGCCTTGACCTTAGGTCACTGGTTATATGGCCTTGACCTAAGGTCACTGGTTATATGACCTTGACTTAAGTTTTCAGCAGGGATATTTTTTTACCCAAAAGGCCATCCAGACTTGTGTAATGAATGAACATCAATACAATTAGAGCTCTTTGTAGCAAGGCTGCATGATAAATTACAAGGCCAATTCTGTTATAAAGAAAGTTTTTAAAATGTGAACAGGCCTTATGTGCTGTCCTACATTGAAGTTTGTGACAGAGGCAATATCTAGAAGAAATAATAATTTGTCTTGATGCAGTATCTATTCAGATGTGCTGTAGATATGATCTATATTAAGTGCGATAAGACATCCAGCTAATGTGCACATGTTTCAACAAGAAAAAAAAAAAAACAAAAAAACTCACAAAGATGTGCAGTACAGACCTTCACAGTGCCACTTTCATAAACCCTTCACTCAGTCAAAAGAAAACTTTTGGTCGCATCACATACGACCCTTCCTTCCTCGTCACCAGTCTGCACGGATTCTTGTAATCTCGATCACGTTCAACTCGTCCAGCAAGTTAGTTACATGAAGGCAATAATGTAGACTAGATATGTTTGTTGGCTGCAGCCAAACATTTTGAGAAACATAGCTACACTCAAACATATTCATTACATACGATCATGTATGATACAGCAGTTTTGAATATTTATGTACACCTACTGCCGAGAATATGTAATATATAAATTGATTTGACAATAGTGCTGGTTTCGAAGCTTGGATCATAGAAGAGGGGGGTAAGGAAATATGAACTGACACATAAAAGGGGAGCAGCATAATTTCCCACTCGAGGGAAGAATTATAAGTATTGATTATAAGTATTTATGGCTAATATTTTCTTGGTTTTAAATCTTTTGATTTCACATACTTTGACTTAACTCAAAGGAAGCATTCACTTTTTTTCAATGACCAAATAAGCATTACCTACCATTATCTTAATATTGCCTTCTTCTGAAAACTGAAGCTATGAAAATTGATCAAATTTCATAATTTGCACAAAATATTTTCTATAATAAATAAATACATTGAGAAGAGGTGCAAATATTCATGGATCCACATCATCTTCATTTAAATATTTTCCATAAATTTTGCATCCTTTATACTGGTCAGTTTGTATATGTGTTTTGGCATCTGCAAGTGCAGTCAAGGGCTTATTTAAGAAAGCATTTTCCATCTTTCATCATTCTTTTTGGACCAAAACCTTCTGGCCCCCGTTTCACAAAAAAACTTAAGTCGGTTTCCCTGACTTAGGGCTTGGTTACCAACGTAATTAAGTCGTTACGTCACTAAGTCCCGTTTCACAAAGAATCTAAAAGGTCGCTTACGTCGTTTTTTTCTTAGCTGTAAGTCGACGATGCCAAGCCTCCTCGGGAGGAGACTTAAGTCGGCAAGCTCAACTAAAACTCGGTAAATGAGAGCATAAACAACAAAAATTTGGAAAGAACATACCTCCTTCAAGATATTGTGTTTTAATATCCTTGAATAGCACTGACATTTATGGAATATTGAAATAAAAAATAAAATTCCACTTTACCCAGCCGATCGCGTGTTTGTTTATGTTTTTGACCGCTAGACGTCCCTCAGTAGTGTTCCACGACAAGCTAATGTTTAACTGTTACTTTGAAGTTGTATTGAAGTTAAACTTATCAATAAAGTTCAAAACAAACTTTGTTTGTGTTTTGGCTGACTTTTATTGTTGATAAACGATCGTTCTCGGCCGAAAGAGGCCATGAAACGTCATGTCTTGTGAAACTTTTGCAATTTTACACCTCCTTTTCTTGAAGAGTTTCTCGTGCGCGTCGACTACGGTAAGCACGCCAAGCTAAGACATTAGATTCTTTGTGAAACACTCCAAGTCGACTTCAGCTAAGTTGACCTAGCTAGGCCACCCAGCTCGAGTAAGACGTCTACGGATTTAAGATTCTTTGTGAAACGGGGGCCTGATCTTGAAGATGGTCTTTTTTGAGAAAAGTAGCACGAATAGTGCTGTATTTCACCAAAGCCACTTCTCCATCAGAATCCCCTCTTGTCCAGCCAAATACTTTCTTATCTAATAGAAATAATGCATTCTGGTTTTTAGCAAATGAAGGATTTTAAAAAATAAATAACTTAAAAATTGGCTGTTCAGATGCCCATCTCTGATTACAATTTCTCAATCATATTTCTTATAGTTCCTCACTGAAATCTTGACCAAAGTGCAGCTACAGATGCACACAAATAAGCAATCTAAATACTGATGAATGAAACAGATACTGGCTACACAGATTCTGCAATATATAAATGAAAGAGCTTAATACACCTACTTCTGAAGTCGGGCCATAAAATAACCTATGACCTGCATTTTGGCATTGTTCTTAGAGGTCCTGATCATCAATTACCTTGACCAGTGGCCTTGACCTGATCATCAATGACCGTGATCAGTGGCCTTGACCTTGACCTCAATAACCTTAAATCCACCTCTTCCCTATGACCTACCACTTTGTTTGTCCTAGTTTTACAAATGCAAATACCACAAAAAGTGCTACTGCTTCATAAAAAAAAACTTCATATCCAAAAAAAATAACTCCAGTTGGCCAGAATGAGACTTTGATCGTGCATCATGACACAGGGAAAGTGCCTGTAATCCCAGACGCCTGCCACGCCACTCTGGACCCTAACCACTTCTCTTCACAACTTGCCTCTCGCAAAAAAACCATTGAAAGATTGCAAGTGACTGAAAATTGCAAATGAAGATCAATCTTTCCCAAACCATGATGGATATGACTGAAAAATCAAAGCATGAGGGGTATGATACCATCATTCAAAAACATCACATAGTTCTCCTTTTCGCAACCATTTCTGACTGCAACATTGATGAAAGATTTTGGTACATGGAAACCAAGAATGCCTTCTGGATGACTGCAACAATGACAAGATTGGTAATGTTCACAGAAAGGCTCGGGCACACATCACGACTGCTTCATGCGTTTGCGCGGTGGTCCGAGGGGTGGGCTTTGCTGACTTGCCAGAGCGCGAAACGCTTCAGCAATGAGGTGTGGAGAGTTGGTCACCATGGCCTTCCATCCTGCAGTGTCCATTACATCTGTGGCATGGCTAGAAATGAATATATGAAGAGACTTTGAATATTTTGATCATTTTTTCACCTAGATACTGTAACAGTATCAAACACTACTCTAGACTATTGTTCTTCTTTACAAATCAACTTTCCAACACTCAAAATATTGAAGAAAGGATATAAAATCCTTGATATAACCCAGAAATTTGATGAAATTCAGTTACAACTTGACTTCTGACGGAAACCATGGAAAGGTATACAAACTAATTTAAATTCTGTAAAATCACTACAGCATGATCTTCATTTTATCCAAAAAGGCTCGAAAATGAATGTCACATATATTTTTCATCAATTCAGTGCTAACTGAGTGGAGACGTTAACAACATTTTGTATGACAAAGATGAACTACAATGTTGTCCAGGCCTCCGTATCTCAAAAGATTCGCTATGTTGCGCACGTGCCCAAGTGTCTCGATTTCATGGCCCCGTATCTCGAAATAGAATCGGTTATGGAATCGAGACACTTGCGCACATGCGCAACATAGCAAACCTTTCGAGATACGGAGCCCAGATTTGTCAGAAATAAATAAATAATTATGCAATGGGCATGTTGCATGTTAACAGAACACACCCACCTGTTTATAAAATCTATTGCATGTGATTTTAACTGTTCAGCACTGTGCAAGTCTGCAAGTACGAGAACCTCACATGCATTCTCAACAACCAGATTTGTACACAGAGCCTCTTCACACATCACTTTGAGGCGCTCTAAGGCATACTGCAATATAAAAATTTAGATGAGAAATAAATTTATGCACTTTTAAATTGGGGCATAGAGAAATACATTTGTTTGTTATTATTGTTAAGAAATACAAATATATGCACTTATTAGTAAATTCAATTTACAAATGACATTTTCAAAATGTGTTAAATAAGTTTACATGACACACTGACTCATGATCACACATATTTTCCTGGTAGAGAGGCAGTCACATAGAGACAATTATTTTACTGAATTGGCCTCCAAAACGTGGTGACATTGCACTGTACTGGATCTGATTTCTTTGACACTTCCATGCATTCTGTTTTGCTTGCAAAACGTTTAACTCTTGACAATTCTCAAATGAATGTTTTTTGTTTTCAAAAATGTTGACCACGTAACTAAACAGTCCTACAATTTGAATTTAGGTCACCTCTTGGCTATGTTCGACCCCAAACTGGTATTACTGACCATCTCTAAAGGCAGAGCTATATATCTTTATGTCTTAATAGTTGTGCCTCTTTCTATTAGGAGAAATTGAATGAAGGTATGTAAAGTAAAAAAAAAAAAAATGGGGAAAAAAATGAAAAAGTCGGGCATGAAAGAAAAGACCCACCTTGTCAGCTGCTGCCAATAAATCATCCGCCATTTTTTCTAAGTTTGACGTCTTTCCAGTGTATATGAACCTCAGTATTTCCCTCATTACTTCATGTTCTACGTCTGTTATTTCTACTCGATTCAACTTCCTTTCCTCCATGTCATGTTCGAACATTGCGTTAAACACTGGTGACCTTGCTGTAAGAATAAATACATCTTTTTAAACAGCTAAGTTCCCATTCTTGCTTTCATGATACTCAATGAACATATACTTTATTTTAGATTTCCACTAATATTTTCAAATGAATGGATTTTTGCTCAAGTCACTGCAAGCTTGATGAAGAGAGGCTACTTACCTGCTAAAATAGCTTTATGTGCTTGAAATTCTCGCCCTCCAACATTTAGCATGACATCACTGAAAGCAGAACGCTCAAATAACGAGCCCAGGTCCTCACTGAGCTTGCACTCAGGGACTTTGACAGGGGAACAATTGGACTGTCCACTGACATTTATTGTATCGCCCACTACACTGACCTAGAAAGAGAAAGAAATCTTAATAAATTGTTTGCTTGTTGTATTTGTTTATTCGTAGACACATTCATTCAAACCTCATCTTTTTCATTTATAAATTTTTGAGTGCAAGAAGTGGGATTAAAGAAGTCTGCTCTAATATTTTTATGGGTAACTAATAAACAGTTTACAAAATAAAGCAAGAATAGAAATTAAAATTAATAATCTACTACATGATATGATCACTAACATCTATTGTCTCAAAACAGATTTCAAAACCATCTGCAGAAATCTTCAATAAAATATGTTGTTAACATTGTTTACCTCACAAAATATAGTTAGTTTGTCTTCTGGGAGTAAACCATTGGCTTCATCCATGAGGAAGTCTCTCCTAATGAACTTTTTGAAGCCCCAGTCCTTTCCTTGGACAAATCTGTAGGCTCTTTGGCTTTCTGCAGTAAAACCAACATAAATTGTTCATTATAATTATTCTATTCATCTGTTTCATCATCAAATTCTGTCCGTCAAAGCCCTAGAAACACTCATAAATTTTTTAGCATTTTAAAGATGCATATTAGGCATGCAGGTATGGCAAAGCATTACCACTAAAGCCAACCAAATGCCCCCATCTGGTTTCAAATAGTATAAATTACAGAAAAAACAGTGTTTTTCACATCATTTTTTGAAATATGATATATATATATATTTGCACAGATATTTTCTCCTTACTTCATGTGCTTTGTAGACTGCAGAGAAAAATTACATATTAATGATTTTGTTCAGACAGGAAGTATTTGAGAAGGAAAATACGTGTGACTGGTATCATTAGACTATAAGATGACCGGTTGGCATATCAGGATCCTATGTTGAAAGGCCATTTGTTGTCGAAAATAATACAAACTCTTACATTTTTTTGTGCACCAGTAAAAACTGAGAAATTTGAAGCATGTGGGTAGCCTTTAAATAATTTGCAAAATAAAAAAAGGTAAAATGCCACCAAACACTTAAAAAATATAACTTTCAGAAACACCACAGGTCATAATTTCATATTACCAAAAAAAGGTTTTTTGAATGATTTTTCTGCTTGTTTTCTGTACTGTTTTTTAACATGGCAGATAAGAAGGTCGAATTTACAACCAAAAATTTGAAGAAGGTACAGTTTAAAGCTATTTTATGGTCGATTGAATGATTTACTAGTATTTGATTTATTCCTAAATATGTCAACATTATTTGAGTCATATAAGAAACTAGTAGAAGTGACTTATATGCCTTGTTGGGAATCCATGTTTCACCAATGCTCAGTTCAAATGAACCTTTAAATCATTTATCACTATCTTTAGTTTCCTTATTTTGGCACATTGATTTTAATGCCACCTCAAAGATGTTAATTTCCTAAAACAAATCACTTATAATCTCGAACCTAATCGTTGGTTCCAACTAATGAACCGAAAAATTGTTTTAAGTAAATACTTACAGACTCTGATTAAAAAAAAAAAAAAACTACACAGCAGTGTCACCTAAGTATATATTTGTTATAATGGGCTAACGAGTAGCATACATTTATTATATCTTTTCAACATTGATGTTTAAGATTGTGAACACACCTTTCTATCCATTGACTTACCCTAAGGCTACCTTCTGCTGCTGCTTTGTAAAATAAACACTGAGTATATCTTCCCTTATTTTCAGTTAATAAGAACATCTTTTCATATACTTTTGCTATAAAATCTTACAACATTATCCCCTACTTCTTAAGCAATGCATATGGGTAAATGGTGAATATTACTTTGCGATCAATTACTAATTGGAAGCTTAATTTTCTTCCCTTACAGCAATACATATGGTTAATCTGACATACATCTCTGCTTAAATTAACTTACAGACTGGCATTAGTCCAACACTTTAGTCCCATAGATTTTAGATCGATCTATCCCTGTGGGGAGTCTCACTAGATTACTGTCAGTTTAGCCAGCTTAAGCGTCTGTCCCGCCTACTAAAAGCTGTAAGGGGGTATTTAACTATGGTGCGCACTCGGCTGACTGCAATTTAGCGTGAACCCCCAGGGAGTTGGGTCAATCTAAACCTAAGTCTCTGGATCGATCTATATCTCTGGGAATGCACCCTAAGACAACCATGGTGACTCAAACTCAACATGACGACTTTTGAAAAATTCTCCACACTTTGCAACGAATATGAATAACTTGAACTGATACTAAACTGCATCTTTTATCTAAACCCATATTTTAAAATTCTTACCATTTGCTTTCATTACACGTATGCACCCTTCACTTACCCATAGCTTTAGTTTCTTCTCTCTTTGCATTGAGTATAGAAAATTTGAATTTGGCCCTGACCTCGCTCTTGTTACAGGAGACCAGAAGAAGATACAGGGATAAGTAGTCTTTACTCTCTTCATCCAGACCTTTAGGGTTTACCCTAAGACACCTGCGGAAGAGAATATAAACTTAATATTATATGACATGCTGGCTCCATCTTTGCAACCAGTCCTTTCAACCTTAGACTGCTTTTCCTTGACCTTATCGTACTAGCAGGATCAATCTAAGCAGGGACTCTTGCTGAGGCGCAGTCAATGTAAAATGTCAATGTTTATGGTGAGTGAATGTGTGTGTGTGTGTGTGAGAGAGAGAGAGAGAGAGAGGGAGAGAGTGAGAGAGAAAGGGCAATTACCATTAAAGCTTTACATATTACTTACTGAACTAAAAATCTCTTAGCCTCATGAAGAGAGTACATCAGTATTATAACTATATGAATAGGTAATGAAGATATATGAGATTAATTCTCTCATTTCATTGCAGCCATCCCAACAAACACATTTACCGTTGTTATCACACTTCTAGACAGAGAAAAATTCTGCATTATATCCAGAACAAACAGTTCTACTAGACCTTTTCATTGGTCATTTTGATGATAAACATAACTGCTTATTTATTTCATTTGCATGACTTTATATATTTAGTTGCATAAGAACCCTTTCATAATTTTTGTTGTTGTTCAAAAAATCACGAATGCCCATTTTCACTGTGTATTAAAAACCTGAAAAAATATCAACACACCATTTTTATCTTTCATATACCCACAGTTCTAACTTACTGCCTCATTGAGGATATACTGAACCATTTTTTAAATCATCCTTTTGCTGTTCACACACTCAGAGATCTAACAAACTTCTTTGTGGACATACTCACCACTTTAACTTATCATTGGCACCAGCAGAAAACGTGGAACTCTTCAACACTTCTCCCATCTCCTCTCGACAAAAACTGAAGTTGTTGATGGTCCACATATAGGAAAACTTCACCACCTTTACCTGAAATATTTAACAAACTCATCACATTTCATCTTATTTGGAAAAGGGGACAGCAACTCTTACCTGGTACTATTATATTCCAGTTTTGAATGAAATTAAAATTTCACTAGGCCCCTGTCACCACTTAATGTCACTTAGACATGAAAAAACTCCATAGTAACATATAATATTAAGAGTCACTCATAATTACAACAAAAATTTGAGAATGAATGCACAAGTTTAACTTGATATGGATCAATCAAAATTTAATACTTCAACTTCTGAAAAAGTTTTTATAAGATGGCAGAAATTTTTTTCAGCTAATTTACAGTATTAAAAAATAGTGAGTGTGTGTGCTCACACATATTTGTGTGTCAGAGTACGCATGCATGCGCCATACCTGCGTGTAGCACCAGTTTTCAGCCACAGGGCACGACATCTCTGATGGCGGTGGCGTAGGGACCCGCGACACGGCGGCCATGTTGTGGTGCTGCGCCTCCCCGGAGTGGCCGCTCGGCTGCGAGGATGGTTGCGGCTGCTCCGTGGTGGACGCCAACGTTACTGCCTCACCAACTAAACACTAAACACACTCCTGCTCTGCGCCTTGCCTTGGTAGCTTTCTGCAAGTAGAGAAATGCCAAGAGATTACAATGAGACTAGGCTAGGACATAAATATTCATTTCTTCTGAAATATCATTACAACTATACTGTATAACTAACAAGCCTAATTTATCCAAAAATCACTAAAACATTGGTCCAGTCTGAAAGCTTAATATCCATAATTAACATACCTAAAAAGCTCTACACCAAATATCCAATGTTTAATAAGTTTAATTTTAGATGTGGGCATGTCATTATCTGTATTACTGAGCCATGAAAGTTTTCTGAGAATAATTCATTTCCAACAACATCTGGTTTTTCATTGCAAGCTGTCGCCCTGGAAAATTACACTTATCATTGACTAAAGCAGATATACATAGAAAAGGGCACAGAGACAGACAGACAGACAGACAGACAGACAGAGAGAGA